GAGAGTTGGACCTGTGGGCTTGGGACCATAGTCACAGGGCACATCAAGTTCAACTGGCATAAAATACTACACAAAAACACTGTTCCATATCCTATTTTGGCAAGTAGTGACTGGGATCTCTAAAGCTTGCAAGTGGTCATGTAGACGCAACAATGGGTCTCTCCTCATCCAGAGCAAGGAAGAATGAAGAAAACCAAAGACTCATGGAAACAATTAGTCCAAGGGACTGGTACACCATGAGATCCTCAGCCTATACGACTGTGAGACCAGAAGGACAAGACGGTGCCCAACTACCACGGTCAACCACTTGAAGGGGGATCTATGTAGGAGGATCATGGATAAAGTGGGAGAACAATATGGAACAAAACTAAAAATCATTTCAGGGGCGGGGGGGAAGGGACCAGGTTTGTTAGTCTGATAGAACCTGACCGAACCACTGAGGCTATGGCCCCTAGCTGCTCTTCAGGTCTGGGATTGAACCCACTCCTGTGGCTTCCAGCCAAACAAAAGATAGGCAGGTATATAAGCTGAGCATTTACATTAGGTAGATACACTCCCTGGAGAGATCAATCGTGGGAGAACAGAAGGGCTGTGTATGCACAGGGAGACAGTTTGGGGGCAGGTGTGCATGGAGGGAAGAACACAGGGAAGAGGTAACTATGGGGAGGAAGTGGGATGGGAGCTGTTGCATTGTGGGCAATGGCAGTCAATGTCATGAGGCAAAGTGTATGTGAGCTGCTACATGGAAAGTAAATTTGCTCTGTAAACTTTCACCCAAATCACAATTAAAAAAAAAAAGTTAACCATGACAAACTGAACAGTGAAGCAAATTGTTAATTGAGTATTTAAATTTCCCAGTTTAGAAAAAAATACATTTTTCCTAAAGGTAAGAAAGACACTCATCTAAACCACTGTGTACTCTACAGTGAACAAGTCTTTACTATTATTTACAGTATATAGTATATATAATGAGTGTTAGCTCATTTTGGCACATGTAATTAAGTAAGTTTGAAGGAACAGATATACTAAGTCAGCATGAAACACAAAAAAGATAAAGTTACGCAGAGTCAATTAAAATCTCTAGGAAGAGAAGTTCTAAGCAGCAGAAGCATTCATAGGTGTCTTTACAAAGGCCTCTTTCAAGAACTTACAAAGGAGAGTCAAAAACTAAACCAAACCAAATTCAATGCCATTGAGTCAGTCCCAACTCATAGCAATCCCCCCTTGGGTTTCCCAGGCAGTATCTCTATGGAAGTAGATTGCCCAACCTTCCTTCTGAGGAGTGGCTGGTGGGTCTGAACCTTCTGGTTAGCAGTCAAATCCCTTAGGCATTACACTACCACAATGGAGAGTAAGAACAGAATAAAGCAGAAGGCAAAGATTAAGAACACTGCATCAGACAAATGGTAGAACATGTACATGAAGTGAGGAGCTATGGTAAAATTTAGAGTGCTTAATACCAAAATTAATTGAGGGTGGAGGAAGATGGTTATAAAAGAGCACCAATACTCTGTAACAAATGAAAATAACAAAATTTCAAACTGTAAGTATTTAAAATATCTTCTTAGGAATTCAAAAGTAAGTAAGGCCCTGTATTTGGGAATAATCAAATTCTTAATAGTGGGTGTTCACGAGATTACCATCTTACCCATTCACTTCATTCCTCGTATGTTGTTATGTGCCGTCAAGTCGGAATAAAAGAGGGGAAATGGAAGGTAGTTAATGGAGATATAATAAATCTGACAATTTAGACTACCATAGTTTTTTACACAATCCAGAAAATGTGTGCGTTTCTGTAACTGTCTTTGCTCAAGCTTTTGGACTGGCTTTGTGAATGTGTTACCCTGAAGTTTTGTTTACCTAAGCAAAATGTTATGTTCACCAGCAACACAACAGAAAAATAATACTGATAAAATTATTATTCCACATGCACCTAAGGCATCCATGAGAGGCTGTGGTCTCTAACTTCTACAGCCTTTCAATTCAATGTTGTTGTTGTTAGGTGCTCTTGAGTCGGCTCTGACTTATAACAACTCCATGTACAACAGAACGAAACACTGCCTGGTCCTGTGCCAGCCTCACAATCCTTGCTATACCTGAGCCCATCGTTGCAGCCACTGTGTCAGTCCATCTTGTTGAGGGCATTCCCCTTTTTCATCGACCCTCCACTTTACCAAGCATGATATCCTTCTCCAGGGAATGGTTCCTTCTGACAACATGACCAAAGTAATATCAGGAGGTGAGACGAAGTCTGGCCATTCTCACTTCCAAGGAGCATCCGGCTGAACTTCTTCCAGGACAGATTTGCTAGTTCTTTCAGCAGTCCATGGTACTTTCAGTATTGTTCACCAACACCACAACTCAACAGCATCAACTCTTCTTCGGTCTTCCCTATTCATTGTTCAGCTCTCACTTGCATATGTAGCAACTGAAAATACCACAGCTTGGGTTAGGTGTACCTTAAGTCTTCAAGGAGACATCTTTGCTCTTCAGCACTCGAAAGGGGTCTTTTGCAGCAGGTTTGCCCAATGCAATACATCATCTGATGTCTTGACTGCTGCTTCCGTTGGTGATTATAGAACCAAGTAATATGAAATCCCTGACAACTTCAATCTTTTCTCCATTTATTGTGACACTGCTTATTGGTTCAGTTGTGAGGATTTTTGTTTTCATTATATTGAGGTGTAATCCATACTGCAGACTATAATTAAAGTTTACTTGTATGTCCTGAAAACCATTTTGTCTCTGGTGGTGTTTCCTATTCTGGGTCCTATTGCTTATTTCTTCTCATTTAAAAGTTTATGGCTCAACCTGGATTGTTTTGAAAGTAAACTCCTAGAATATCACTTACCACACAGTGTTTATCTAGAGTAATAGTGTCTATAATTGGGATTGTACTCTATTGTGTACCATGCACACTTGAGAGTCAGAATTTGAGTAGAAGGAACTAAAAAAAATTTAGCATATGAAAAGCAGTCTGGTTGCCTACAAATTATTAAAAGCAAAGTACTTTAGCAACCCCACTTAAGAATCTGTTTTCCAGGGAAGAACTCATAAGAAAGTATAAAAAAGGATGGTTATTGTAGCATTGTTTACAGCAGGAAAAATGGAAGTACTTTGATGAGTAAGACAAAATTAAACAATTAATATTTTAATTAATAATTTAAATAGGTTGTATTATATCTGCACCACAGAATATTGTACAGCTATTAAAAGGAAAGAGTTGGATCTAGAACTGAAAGGGCTGTTGATGGTATACAGTTAAAGAAGAAATGTTTGAGAGAAATAAAAAGCAAATAAAAGGAATCCAGACTGGTTCTGGGGGTCATTTTCAATCCCTCTCTAAATTGGTGTGCTTCTGCACAGTGGAGGCTGTGTTTTATTCACAGACCATGGCATAATGCAGAAAAGGCAAATGTGTACTGAATGAATCAACACATTATTTTACTTTAAAGAGAAGCACAATATACTAGTGAAAAACTGGTCAATTTGGTTATAAATGGTAGGAAAAAGGGCTGAAAAGTTGACTCTTTCCAAGATGATCTTGTAATGCGTAATTTTTAAAGGAATCATCACAATAGACCATTGAGAACTAAGTAGGTAACAAACTAGCAGTAACTCAGTCCTTTCACTTATTGTTTCTATTGATGTATAAAGGTCCAAGCAGTGTTAAGAACTGTATGTGTTTTTAGAAACACATCAGGAATGTTTCATTGTTGACAACTATTGCATATCCTTTTGCACTTTGCCTCTATCCTTAATGAGTGAAACTTCGATTCAGGACAAGTAAATAAGGTGATAAAAACAAGTAGATAAGATAATATTGAAAATCACTGGTCTAGTAAGGTGCCCCTTCATAAATTATAATGTTTTAATGCTGCTATTCGCTGTTCATACTGGCACCTCAATTGCTGGCATCTCTCTGAACTAAAAAATGACACACGCACTCTTATTCTACTATTGTTTACTTTTGGTGACTTTTTTTTTCCCTTTGTGAATTTGTAACAACAAACTGGCAGTTCATCTTTGAAACTGAAAAAAAAAGTCCTTATCCTTAATAATTTGAAGATGATCATTTTTGCTATCTGAGATTTTAATATTTATAAAGTTACCTTCTAAGAATTAAAAAAAAAAATGAAGGTCTACATTAAATTCATTAGGAATAGTTTACCACCATTCAAACCAGCAGATACATAGGATCTGTGTGTGTGTCAGGTGGGGTGGAGTGGGGTGTAGGAAGGTGCGGACAAATGTGCTATCTTAATGAAAGAAGCGGAACATACAGTAATCATTTATAAAAAGCACACAGACAAGTTAATTTAAATCTTTTGAGATCATAAAAAATTAAGTTACATGACTATTCAACATTAGGGATGTGATGTCAGTAATCAAAATTGTAAACACATTTTTCAAGTTTAAAGGTCATATGCAACCAACACACACACCCCCCCGAAGGGTTATACTTTGATCACTCAGGTGGAACCGAATATATTAAGCCAAGGTATAAGCTGTAATAGATAGTCAATAAGAAAGCAAATGGGAGCTCTGGTAGCATAGTGCCTAAGGCACTTGACTGCTAACCAGAAGGCTGGTGGTTCAAACCCACCAGCCATTCCTTGGAAGGAAGGCTGGACAATCTACCTCCATAGTGATACCGCCTCGGAAACACAAGGAAGGGTCGCTATGAGTTGGGGCTGACTCGACGGCACACAACAACAACAACAAGAAAGCAAATTAAAGCCAGAGAAAAGATGTACATTCCCTTATAAAAGGAGTCAGTGTGAAGACCTTCTGACAGCTATCTAGACCAGCCTGGTGTTGAAAAGTTCCCCATCCCTCCAATTCCATTCTGACAGCTTAATATTTTAACCAAAAGCTAAAGTTCGTCTAACCATCAACAATCATTTATACAAGCAAGTATGTAAACTGCTGAACATCTGCTTTGAGAGACGTACTGTAGGCTCAAGTGCAATGTGTTAAGTAGACCCTATAGAACTTACATATTCCTCTTCAGTCTCCTCCACAAAGAAAGCTTCTCCATTGTCACCTAATTTCATGTGAAGATCCACAGCATCACCATTGATTTCTATATCAATCTAGGAGAGAAACAAAGTCAGCTTGAAAAGAGTCTTCCATTCAAGTGAAACCAAGTCTGAATTCTGGGCTCTCAAGCCAAACAAAGTAAGCAAGGGTTCCCTAGAGCTACAGCCCCAGGGACATTGCTACTTGCCCCACTGATAAAACACCCTCACTAAAACAAATGAACCTTAGGGGAAAATTACCAGGGATTGAAAGAAAATGTTTAACTATCTATTTTTATAACACACAAAAACTTGTATTTGTTTAACTTCCCAATTCTAGTAAAATATGGGAACGTCACTGTCAACAAACACCTGTGCACTTGTAGAGTTATAATACAGGCAGGCTCTACCTTGCACGGCTCAGACATGCATGCATTTTAGTTACCACCATGTATTAACTGTGAGTAACTGCACAAAGTACAAACTTCATTGCTAAGCTCTTCTATTCACAAATTGTTATATGTATAACAGATGCCCAGCATGACCACTACCAGTTATGTTACTCTTTTCAAAGTCGTCTCTGATTGGCCACTGGGCATCTGTTACTGAGTTCATATACACACAGCAAAGTGTGTACTTAACGTTGCTTCCTTGTCTCCTAGTGATAAACCCATGTGCCATTTTATAAACATGGATAAGAGAAGGAGAAAATTGGCCCAAAACAATGACTACTCTTTTTAAGCTTATTACAAGGCACTTCTCAATGTTTCTAAAGTTTTAAATCATTGTTGTTGTTGTTGTTGTTAAGTGCCGTCGAGTCATTTTCGACTCATAGCGACCCCATGCACAGCAGAACGAAACACTGCCCGATCCCGCGCCAGCCCCACAATCCCTGCTATACTTGATCCCATCATCGCAGCCA